TATGCAATGTGAAAAAAAAAAAAAAAGGCAAAATAGGCCTACATGGGGGAAACATTTTGAAAAACCGTGTTCGGTATTTGGCCCAGTGTTTCATTTTGTTCGGCTTCGGCCAAAAATTTTCATTTCGGTGCATCCCTACAATAGGCTACATCAGCGGTTCCCAATTCCAGTCCTCAGCTCGTGATAGTCCCATTTTATGAAAATCACGTTACATGATTTTATTGATTTGCATGTGAAATCGGGCTTTTATGGAGGAGCGAAACCGCGCCGCTGGAAAGGGAGCGGAATGGGGCGCAATAATAGTTTTATCTCGATTATTGTATTTTCATAATCGTTTGAAGCTGAAATCGAAATCGAAACTGAATTTTGATTAATTGCACAGCCCTAGTGTACAAACAATCGTTCTGGCAACAAGATGAACACTTCAACAATATTACCGCAGGCGTATTATTAATACTGAAGTCCTCTAGTTTCATTTTACAGTAAATGGGTAATTCCACAAAATCTGTGCCTTTTCCACTTGGAAAAATTAAAAAATAAAATAAGTTTAAATCAACATTTTTTAAATATCCATGAAATGAAGACACCTTAAAATGACAAGAAATTGTATTATACCATCTCAGATTATGTAATTTATTATTTTATGCCTATTAAAAATACATCTACCTCATATTTTGGCATTTTTGTCAATACTGTTACAGACACAAGCGTTACTATATACTATAGTTTATTAGATTTATTTTAGATATATATTATTAGATTATTTTTAGAACTATGTGATAGTTCTCACATATATGAGTAGCATTTTGGTCCCTCTTTTCACTGGGATTGTTCTAAATTTTTTATTTTTTTAAATATTTTTATATATTTGTCATTCAGATGACCAAGAACATCCTAATTTTGGAGGGTGACTACATCAATTAAGAAAAAAATATATTTTTACAAGAGAGATATTTAAAAAAAAAATTTATTTACATTTTAAAAATGTTAACAGTATTGACACTGCATGATGTCCCCTCCTCAGTCAAGTCTCATAAATCATCAAAAATAGAACATTATAGAGGAGTGAGAGAAACATGCTTGTGTTTTAAGTGTTGGAATCCTGGTTGAGAGATGATGTAACCTCCTAGAAGTGATGCCACTTGAATGTACCATTATTTTACTAGGATTTTTTGATGAGGGTAACAGGGATGACATGAAATCAGGGGACACCAATAAAATAATTAATAATTTATAGAAAAAGTGTATACTTATGCCAAAAACATTGCTTAACAATGAGACTGTATTTAGAACAATATTCAAATGTGATTTTTTTATATCATTTTGTCTTCATTTTGCAAATTAAAAGTCCTGCTGAAAAAGAAAAATCATAGTGAGGGACAGGCCGAAATCCTTACCCTTATCAGCATTCATGCTATTTAAATTATTTAAAATAATATTTAATTGACTTAAATTTGATGTAACATTGATGAAAGAATACATAGTATAATGTTTTTAAATCGCAAAGTTATTTGTGGTTATATTAATTCTGTTTGATTATTTCTTAGCGATGCAAAAGGCACCGATTTCATGGAATGACCCAAATGCAGTCTATAACTGAGGCACAGGATGATAGCAGTTGCACTTGAATAAAAGAAGAGAGATGCTGTGTGATATGAGAGATGTGAAAGAAGCACCAGCCTTAAATCCCCAGATGAGTGGTATAGTATTCAGCGTTGCTAATGACAACACCACAGAATGTTGCAACTGACCAACCAGAATCAAGTATTCCGGAAAGCAGTGGACTAAAGCAGCCTATAACATGCTTAAAATTTATGCAGATGTCTTACCATACTGTTAATTTCTTCCGATGAGGCACTTTCACTTTTTAAGGACTCCTGGTCTGAAATGTCTTTGTCACTATCATCAAATGGCGAAATCAAAGCTGAGAAAAATATCAAAGTGTGAGCAGGGTAAAACACAGAGATTTATCTATAGAGTTTGATTAGCATTCACATTTATCAATTTATCTTTTTTGCATGCATGTTAGTTTCTTAGATAACTTTTAGTAAACCTCAAATACTCACAAGCATCATCACTCTTCTCCTTTTCCTCTTCAGTGAGGGACTTCAAGATTGGGTTAACACCTGGCAGACGACAGCGTCGTTTCTTCCATCCCTTTTTCCTCCTGCACAAAAAAATTTAATAAAAATAAAAATTACAATATACTGATAAAAGACATGAATTAAAACCCTTGATTCATAAGGATTACTTTAACAAAGTCTTTTGAAATTTTTTGATGCACTGACTTTGCAAATACTGAAAATGTCTCTGTCTGTGTTCTGAAGATGAACAAAAGTCTCATGAATTTGGTTCGACATAAGGGTAGTCAATGATGACAGAATTAATTTTTTGTACATTTACTAACGCATTAAATATGTGCTAAAACCAACTAAAAAAAAAAAACATTTCATGCATTTATTTTTCATATGGGGTCTTTAAAGATCCCCAATGCACTATCCATGATATCAGATTTTTTCATCGTTATTATTAATGAACAAGTCAATCAAGTATATTTGAATTACCATTAGCCGACAAAAACATCTTACATGACTAAACAATGCGAACAAGCAACAAGTTGAGACTCACATGCGAGCCAAAGCTTTTCGTGCCAGTTTACGTTGTAATTTGCGATTATTTTCAGAATCTCTGAGCACATGATCCTCTGCAGCCCATCGATCCCAACTGAAAAACAGTAAACAACGTTTCAGTACAAATTCTCAGCAGTGACAACACTCAAGTAAACGCATTGGGCATGGCTTTATTAAGCACAGGGGTGTCAAACTCAATTCCTGGAGGGCCGGAGCCCTGCAGAGTTTAGATTCAACCCTAATTAAACACACCTGATCTAACTAATCAAGTCCTTCAGGCCTATTTGAAAACTACATGGTATGTGTGCTGGAGCAGGATTGGAACAAAACTCTGCAGGGCTCCGGTGTTCTGACGATTTGTGCTACCCGCTCAGATTGTGCTACCTCCCATTAAAAAGATAGGTAGCACAAATCGATAGCGAAAAATGCTACCTATCAGATTGTGCTACCAGCATCTTATTCATGTGGTTTGAAGCTTTTTTTTAATGTCCATACCTACCTCTACCCTAAACCTACCCGTCCATACCTACCCTTACCCTAAACTTACCCTTAAAACAATGCAATTATATTTTTGGTAGCACAATCTGATAGGTAGCATGTTTTGTCGGTACACCGGCCCTCCAGGAATTGAGTTTGACCCCTGGTTTAGCAGTTTTATTTTATCTTCCCTGCGCTATATAAAAAGAATAAAATCACTGTACAGCTAAAATGTTAAATCAATTACATAATAATATTATAACCCTAAAATGAGGCCTCCTCTTACCTTCTATTCCAACCATTGAAATGAATCAGATACTTTGGGACCCTTTTCCCCTTCTCATCTTTTACTGTTGCGATGTCAACAACCTGCAATGCAAAACGCAAATGAACACAAATTTATGACTCCCCACGAAAGAACGCAGCTTGGAACCGCAGAAAACTGACTGTGCGGCGCATAATGACGACGTCACAACTGTAGCTAAGTTAGCTAGGTTTATTTTTGTGCAAGTAATTTTATTTTAGGGTTACTAATGTAACTCTGATACAGTAAATTTATTGATGTTATTCTCTTCTAAACGTTTTAAGTACGCACAATTTGAAGCGAAACTTAAGCTGAGTGAGATAAGTGCCGAGGGTTTTTTTCGTTATGCGTTTACTGTAAATTTAATCACATACATTTAGAAGCACACAATATATTTACGCACTAATAGTACTCACGGTGTTGCATGTCCCCTGTGATCCATTTCATTTAAATCTTTTGCTTGATTTGGGCATGTTGAAGAGGATGGATGGGCCTCGGATAGAGCGGATGCAGCGCTAGCTACTTCAGCGCGCTAACACGCTGTAACTTTTCCTGTTTCTTAACTGAACAACGCAACGGGCTTTTAATGAAAATACATACAACGCACAATATGATCGATTTAATATGTGTACATGTTTTAAAGTTGATTATATGTATGATCCTTAAGAACTGTAAAAGCCCCCCAGGTTCACGACCGCGCCGAAAAATAGTATTTAAGGAAATGTGAAAAGAAATGAATATACATATATGCGTGAAAGCAACCTTTACTGTCTGTAACACACTAAACAACGCGTTAAAGGACAAATGTGTAGCAACACGATCTTACTGTATATTTACCTTTGCATCGTAGAGCACCTTGGCCTTGGATGGGTCAGGTTCAAAACAGAGAACTTTTTCTCCTTTATGGAATTTAAATTTCATTCCCCAAGAGTTCATTTGTTCATCGTGGCGAACAAGAGGACTCTGAAGCCCCGCTCCTTAACCCGTTGCATACCTTGTCATTGAGGAAGATAGAAAGAGCTGCGCGCAAAAACTGAAAGATGATTTATGTGTTCAAGCTCTCCTGGGAAGTCCCTGCTTAAGAGTTCGGAAATTCGTAATTATTAAAAGAAATGTGTTTAAAAAGTTAAACGAAAATGAAATAGACTCTCTCTCTCTCTCTCTCTCTCTCCCCCCCCCCAACAGTAAGTAGGCGCGTTTCCATTACCCTTCAAATTGCGCAAATTGAAATTGCGAATTGAAAATACACCTAATGGAAACGCGTCAATTTCGCAAAACGCCCATATAACGCAAAAAAAAGTTTTTACGCTCGCATGAGGTGGTTTCAGGCAATGCAAAAAAGGAATAATTCGCAAAACTGCAATGGAAACGTTTTTTCGCATTTACAGGTCACATGGCGTAGCCTATGTAAAAAGTCATGATCATTCTCCAATGTACTATAACCTCCAAGAAACACTTCATACGTGGCCGCGCTCCAGTATAAGGGGCTTTCCTACCATTAGCCTAATGCTTAGACAATTTACACTGCACACGTCTGCGATGCAGTGTGGCTCTGATACGGCCACTGAAGCTGATTACGGCCACTCTAGTCAATGCTTGTGTTTATTCCAGCCGCGCCACGCACGTTTCTGAAGCTGTGCTGCTTCTGTAAAGATACAGGCATACGCCTCCTTTGAATAAATATAGCCAAAATCCGTTAAAATCCCACCAAAATCCGTTGCCATGACTTATCGCGAGAGGCAAAAGGTTACTGAGATGCGCCTGCCCTCGCCTGAAATGTAGGCGAGAGTAGGCGGCTGCAGTGAGGGGAGGAGTGAAATAAGCGCAGTCAAGACGGACAGTTCTATGGCAAGCCGTTTTAGCATTAAAGGTCCCATATTGTCAAAACTGAAATTTCCTGGCTTTTTTCATGATAACTGAGGTCTAGGTGCTATGTAACTACCATTTAAGTTTCAAAACAGTCAGTCCACAGTAAAATTCACACAGCCTGCAAAAAGTAGCTGTGATTTTTGTGACTTCCATAAAAAGTTGACGTCAGGACTACACAGTCACCGCCTTCAGTCACCACCCCGAGCACTGCCCACCGTCCCACTCTCCTTTTGCTAAACCCCCAGACAACATTGCGGAAACATGTCGAAAAGGTTAACTTTAACCACGAAACCAGATCGGCCGACCTGTAACGTTACACTCTCACTCAAAGGATGGACGATCTGACAGGATTGTTACTATGAGGTGGATCACATCTAACGTGTATAGTAAAGACAAATATTCTATATCGTAATGTTGAGATGTGTGTGCTGTGGATTAAATTGTGTTAGCCTTTATTTACAAATGAACACATGTAAATCAGTAGCTAAGGATTTGTATCCATACACAATGTAATGTAACCTACTAATACATGTCATCAATGCCAGGTAAACTTTTATTAAATTGTAATCTTTTTTAAATCAACCTTCACCTTTTTTGACTGCATCTGATTCTGAAGCATCGTTCTTGTCCGTCATGCATTTGTACTATTGTTTTTGTTGTATAATTCCATTGTTCTTCATTATGTCTAAATATTAAAGGGGTCATATGATGTTGCTAAAAAGAACATTATTTGATGTAATGTCAAAGGAGGTACTTTGTTGAAAACGATGCGTTTGAGAGAGGCGGGGCATCGAGGGCCTACAATAATGTACAGTATTTGAAAAATAATGTGTTTTTTGAACATTAAAGCATGTCAACATATTCTGTTACACCAAATACACAAAATAATGATCTTTAAAAAAGCATCATATGACCCCTTTAAATGGAGATTTGACTAGTCATAAAGTATTTAGAGATATCATCTCTAATCCGATTTCTTACTAGTGCAATTATAATTGCAAATATCTCTAATTGTCATCGTGAATAGTCGAATTATAATTATGACTCATCAAAATACAATTGTTCCTATCCTAAATTATATTTATAGATAGTCAAAACAAACTTTTAAATGCTAAAACGGCTTGAGATACAGTTCTGACCTCTCCAAGTGGAACAGATACCAACGAGATCAAAGGCAGATATCGCGTTATTCTCACTCATGTGCTGTGTTGCTAATAAACATGACATGATTTCAGTTCTGTTGCTTTTATATGAAAATAAATATGATGAACAAGACACTCAAAGTGCTTGCTATTTAATTCCATACGAAAGGTGTATTTATCATCCATTTTACTTTAATACAAACATGTATTTTAGATTTTTATAGAAATGGCACATATCTCACACAGAGATCGCACTGTCATAGTGTTTGGGAACATCATGCATAATTTAAATACATAATCATATGGAACCAGATAAAAAAATAAAACATTTTAGAAGAGAATGCAGCATCACAGTTGTCTGAACCAATGAGCATTAATCTGTGTCGTCAGCCAGTCGTTTCCCATCATAATTTTGATCAGCGCAGTCGGTGGAGAGCAACTGCGCTCAACTGCGCAATCCGACACAGCCGCCTCGCCATCACGAGAGTTTTTTGGCACACATCAGCATGACATCAGAGCAAGTCGGACGTAACTCGGACACTTTTCTAACCGGCATGCATCTCGCGGTGATCACCGGTGATCGGTTCTGCGCAGATTTGGCTAATCTCAAACAAGCCTATTGGTTAACGGAAACGCCGTCATTTCACAATACTTTTTTTTATCCAAATTTATAAAATATCGCCAAAGTTTAGCGCAAATCTGTTATGGAAACACGCCTAATGACATATTGCCTCTCCCAGGTAAAAAAAATGGCACTTCCATAATACACTTAAAGTGCTCTATTTTATAAGTAGTATTAAAGAATCATTTTTAGTATATTAAGTACAAAATTAGTGTGCGAAAATATAGCACCTAAAGTGCATTATGGAAGTGTACTTTTTTTTTCACCTGGGTTACCAAGAGTGATATTGCCATGTTACTTATAAGGCGAAATACAATTTTCATGTACTTCTGTACTTCTCTGGGTAGATGAAGATATTAGTTTGTAACATAAAATCCCCATATTAAAATTTATATATGCTAATAGTATAGGCTTTTTTATGTAGCTACCATATGTGAACAACATATATTTCATTACAACATACACTTCATTAAAACAAATTACAAAAAAAAACTTACGTGATTTTTTTTTTTTTTTAATTACATGTTTTTTATATTTACTTATATAATATCAACATGTCTTGACAGGTTTTAGGATGGATATACATGTGCATGACATTTATGCACAAAAATTAATTATGCATACATAAACACACATATTTGTATGAACTAGATATACGTTCATATATGAAATTGTTCCGATTTCTAATAGATTTCATAAATGTTTTACTTCATATCATGACAATATTTCATATACGTAAATTAAAAATATGTCTAATGTAATTAATATGCATCTACTACATTTGTGTATGGAAAATTTTAATGGTACAATTTAATGAAAAGCAAAGGAAGGGCATATATGCTTTATCAAATGCACATGTGCAAGTCCAACTTCCAAGTCAGGTGTTTGTTATTACGACATCCAGAATCCAGTATCTCAAAATATTAGAATTAGGGCTGTCAGTCGATTAAAATTTTTTATCTAATTAATTACAGGGTGCTGCGATTAATTAAACTAATTAATCGCAAACTAAATGGCTGTGAAAATACTCCCAAAAGATCATTTAAACCTATTATTGTGCTAAATGTTTAGGCTACAATGGCCTAACATAAAGTATGGAACATAAAAGAAGATAATTCGAGAAACATCTCAGTATTTTGTTAATGCAATGAAAGTCACTAGTGACCAAAACAGCTTAGTTACCAACAGTATTCAAAATACCTTATTTTATGTTGTGCAAAAGAAAGCAAGTCATTCAGGTTTGAAACAACATGAGGGTGAGTAAAT